ACTACTACTACTACTAACTACACTACTACTACTACTACTACTTACACTACTACTACAACTACTACCACTACTACACACACTACTACAACTACTATTATACTACTACTACTACTAACTACTACTACTACCACTACTCCACTACCACTACTACTACTACTACTATACTACTACTACTACACTACTACTACTACTACTACTACTACTACTACTACTACACTACTACACTACTACAACCACTACTACCACTACTACCACTACTACTTACTACTTACTACTACTACTACTACACTACACTACTACTACTACTAACTACTACTACTATACTACTACTACCACTACTACCACTACACACTACACTACTACTACTACTACACTACTACTACTACTACTACTACTACTACTACTACTACTACCACAACTACTACTACTTCCTACTACTACCACTACACTACTACTACTACACTACTACTACTACTACCACTACCACTACTATATACACTTCTACTACTACTACTACTACACTACTTACCACTACTACTACTACTACCTACTACTACTACTACTACTACTACACTACTACTACTACACACTTACTACTACTACACTCTACTAACTACTACTACCTACTACTTCAACTACTACTCACTACTACAACACTACTACCACTACTACCACTACTTATACTAAACCACTCTACTACTACTACTACTACTACTACTACTACTACTACTACCTACAACTACTACTACCACTACTACTACTACTACTACTACTAAACTACTACTAACTAAATACTACTACTACACTACTACTACTACTACACTACTACTACTACCTTCCATATTAAGTGTAACCACTGGTCCTTGTATACTACTACTAACTACTACTACTACACCACTACTACTACTACTACTACTACACACTACCTACTACTACTACTACTATATAACCACTACTCTACTACTACTACTACTACTACTACTACACTCACCTACATAAACTACACTTGACTACTACTACTACTACACTACTAACTACTACTACTTACTACTACTACTACTACTACTACTACTACTATACACTACTACTCACCCCATATTATAGAGTGTAACCACTGGTCTCTTGTATAACTACTACTACTACTACTACTACACTACTACTACTACTATACTACTACTACTATACTACATACTACTTCACCTTCCATATTATAGAGTGTAACCACTGTCTCTTGTATACTACTACTACCAACTCACTACTAACATCTCTACTACTCCACACTACACTATACACTACGTACAACTACTCACCTTCCATATTATAGAGTGTAACACTGGTCTACTACTACTACTACTACTCTACTACTACACTACTACTACTACTACTACTACTACTACTACTACTACTACAACTACTAAAACTACATACTACTTACTACTCACATACTACACCTATATTATAGAGGTAACACTGGACTCTGTAACTACTACTACTACTACTACTACTACTACTACTACCACAACTACTCACCTTCCATATTAAGAGTGTAACCACTGGTCTACTAACTACTACTACAACTACTACATACTATACTACTACTACTACACTACTACTAGTACACAGTACTACTCACCTTCCATATTATAGAGTGTAACCACTGGTCTCTTGTATACTACTACTACTACTACTACTACAAAACTACTACACTAACTACTACTACTACTACTACAGATGAACCACTCTACTGTCTACATATACTACTTAACAAGATAACTATTTATAGTGTACTCTACTGGTCAACTACATTTTGTAATACATACTACTACTACTAGTAACATACTACACTACCTTACAACATATTAGTAACTACTTGCACGTTAATCGTACTATACTACTACTACTAACTAAGGCAACTACTACAGCTACTACTTCATACAGGTGAACACTATCTCACTATACGTATCATTCGGAGACATATTTAGTGTCACGGTATCTGTTTGTACTAACAAAACATATACTACTAGTTCTAACACGTAGAATACGTACTTTCGTTAACACAGAAATACTCACACCGTTGCCATATTAATAATAAGTGTAACACTGGTACCTTGTAACAAGTATCACTATACCTGTGCAACAGGCGAAAATACTACTATTACAACGAGTGAAAATATGTCACTTACCGTTTCAAAAGGGGGAGATGTCTCATTAACGTGCAACAGGATAAAATATACCACGTAACAGAGAAATACTATACACCTTTGCAACGGTAGAATAGTCACTTACCATGCAACAGTACGAATAATAGTCACTTCCGTTGAACGGGAGAAATAGGTCACTTACCGTTGAACAGTAAATAGCACATAATACACTAAATACAAACGTGCACAAGTGAGAAAATAGTCACATTACCGTTGCAACAGGTGAGAAATAGTCACTATTACCGTTGCAACAGGTAGAAATATCACATTACCTTGCAACGGTGAGAATATCACTTACCATTCAAGAGTGAGAAATAGTCACTTACCGTTGCAACAGGGCGATGAAATAGTCCATATTACTCGTTGCAACAGGTGAGAAATAGTCACATTACCATACACGGTGGAAATATTCCTATTAACGTTGCAACAGGCGAGAAATAGTCACATTACCGTTGCAACAGGTGAGAAATAGTCACATTACCATTGCAACGGGTGAGAAATAGTCACATTACCATTACAACGGGTGAGAAATAGTCACATTACCGTTGCAACAGGCGAGAAATAGTCACATTACCATTGCAACAGGTGAGAAATAGTCACATTACCATTGCAACGGGTGAGAAATAT